TATTTCTCGATTTTCAAAACATGAAGTGTTGAAAAAACAATGAAATTGACTTGCTTGAATAAAATTTAAAAAAGAAAAAAATCAGCATTACAATACTCATGGTTCAATACAAAGTAATCAAGTTTCAAGTTTTCAAATTTCACTTTTCCTTATCTTTCAGAACATAAATCAACAAGTTTCAGAACTTAAAACATGAGTAAAAATTTTTTCTAATATTGTATAGTAAAAAATATGATTTCAGATTATTCCTTATTAACTCTATTAAAATTTCCCAAAAAAGGGAATTAAGAAATTTTCAGAAACATGCAAAAACCAGGAGAATTTCTAATAAAGCCAGGAGATCAAAGAAAACCGGCAAAATTCACTTGAGTTGAGAGCTACGTACAATGCGCAAAAAAAGATATCCTGATTAACTTTTGTTCTATTCATTGGATTTTCACATACTAAGTGTCAATCTTTATGGTTCCTAGGAATGAACTCATATACAGTGATACCTTGAGATACCAGTTTAATTCGTTCCGTAACCTTGCTCGTATGTCAATTTGCTCGTAACTCAAAGCAAATTTCCCCATTGAAATTAATTGAAATGCAATTAATCCGTTCCAGCCCCAAAAATGCTACCACCAATTGTTTTTGTTACGTATTTATAAATGACAAATATTGCATAAAAGCATAATAGAAGAGAATGTAAAGCAAGAAAAAAACTGGTTTTATAAAGTGTACATACATATTTGTATTTTGGTCACTTAAATGCAACTTACAACTTAAATGCTACGGCATGCTTAATTTTAGTCACTGCTTTTCTCTTCATTGGTCTTTGCTTTCTTAGTCGGATTTTAAAAAAAACTGTCCAAGGAGGTTTGTTTCTTCCTCCTTTTCAGAATGCTTTAGAAATGAGTTAGGCAAGTGTCATTAAATAGCTCCGATGCACGACTAGTTGCAACTTTTTTGGGGTGTTTCTTTTCCACGAACTGTGAAATTCTCGCCCACATTCCCAAGAACTCTCTTAGCTCACTTGTAGAGACAACCTCCTCCACCTCTGGCTCTTCCTTGAAACCAATTTCTTGCAGAACCTTCGAATGCTGCTGCGACTGTAACTCTTGTAATTCCTCAGTCGTCAGTTCCTGAGAGTGCTCCTCGACGAGCTCGTTCACGTCTCTCTCACCCAACACCAGGTCCATAGATTTTGCCAGAGACACAATCTCCTCCTCCACTGGCACTTCTGGTTCGAATCCTTCGAAACTACAGACTCAGGCCACAGCACAATTTTCGGCTACAGACTAACTCAGGCCACAGCTTTTTCCATGCTGAGGTCAAGGTCCTCGTTGTAACACTCAACCAGGCCTGATCAATAATTCTGAGGTATATAGATGTTAAAGTGGTCCTTCCAGTACTCTCGAAGGGTGAGGTTTGTGTTTTCTGTCAACTCAAAGCAGCGCCAGAACAGGTGATTAGTGTACAGTTTTTTAAAATTAGAAATCACCTGCTGCAGGATAGGAGTGGTGTTAGGTGGTATTAGAGAACTTTTATAAACTTGAACTCTTCGAGGATGTCATGTTCGAAGCTCGGTGGGTGAGCAGGAGCATTGTCGAGGACGAGAAGGGCATGTATGGCCGTTCCTCGTATCTCAAATGTCGCTCGTATCTCAAAACAAAACTTTGCTCGCTCGACAGCTCGTATCTCAAATAACTCGTATGTCAGGGCGCTCGTGTCTCGAGGTACCACTGTACTAATTATTCAGTGCTAACTGTTAAGTTACAAAATCAGACACAAAAACATACTTTCTCTGAATAAACATTTACCTTTTTTCTGACGGATTCAAAATTCTAACCCCAAAATAGAAGAGTTAGCCGCAATCCGGGAAATATAGTCGCCATAGTTAGATCAAGAGAGCGATCCACAGTTCGGACCCCTTAATGTTAATTTCACTTTTTGCATTTTTAGTCATATTTCATTTTTAAAATTAACTAAACATTTCCAAAAAAAATTTGCACCCATTCATAAAACCCTAAGATAAACTAAAGATAATATCATGCAAAAAATAATTTTTAATAATTATTATTTTCATAATTTATGTTACATAAAACTAATTTTAATATCGCATTAAGTATTTTAACTTAATATACTTACTGCACTACTGTGTCACTAAATGAATAATCCATAGAAACTGAAGCGAAAAGATAAAAATTCATTACCTTAAAAAAATAAGAAAATAAAACTCGACATGTTTTGAGCGCTCAAAAATCCATGTCACGAGTCATTAATATCTAGTGAGCCCTGACTAAGCATTCAAAAATAGACACCAAATTTTAAGACTCGCCAGATGTGAATCAAGAAAACAAAAGTAATTTGAAGTAAGAAATGTATGGTTGCCAGCGAAAAATGAAAAATAAAAACAATAGAAACCGTGGCAACGGAGAGTGAAACAAAGAATGAATTTCTTGCCAGTGCAACCTTGGCTATATTGTATAAACCAAACTGGTTTTAAAATCTAAACTAAAGGAACACGGTAGACAAGTCCCATTTTCAAGAATGAGATAAATCTATTGCTGCATCGAATCTAAACTTTATCGCAATTTAATTAATAATTAGCACTAATTAATCAGCATATTTGAAGTTCCAGAAATGACTTCCAGAAACCATTGAGATTGACACTTAGTATGCAAAAATTTGATCATTAGAACGAAAGTTATTCAAAGAGATATATTTTTTATGCGCACTGTACCAGTAATAAACATAAATTTGAAAATAACTTACTTCTCTCCCCCCCCCCCCCAAAAAAAAACACAGATTTTATTTTATATAAATTATAAATAGGATTAAATTGGATTACATTTCACACAAAGATAATTAACTAACTGTTAGAAGAAGAAAAATTTATTTCTATAAGTGATTTTTCATTTTTTTAAAAATTCAAGCAGTTTTAATTAAGATTTTAAACATAAATTAAATCAAGCTGATCTAAATCAGTGAACTCAGCAAGCACTACTACATAAACTCACTGATTGCTAGTTGAATGTAATACAAAAAATCTATAAGTTGACCATTAAAGCAATGCACCACAAGCAATCAATTTGCACAGGTTTCAGTGTATTAAGTTTTGTTAAATTTTTTTTATCACACAATTGTTAAATTTTGAGACCCTGGCTGCTGGTTTGGAAATATTCTGAATATAAAGAACAAACTTCGACATCACTTTAATTTATACTGCCGTAATTTCGAGGAGAAACGCCGCCCTGGTATATACGCCGCTCCCTCAAAAATCGACTGACAGATTCACCGGACACGCCGCGCCGAATTTTTAACAATTAAAGAATTTTGAACTTAATGCAGGTATTGATTAAAGACTTAACACATGCTCTAAATATGCATATGTATATAATTTAAATAGTTAAATAAAAATAAATAAAAGGATATTAAATATTAAAAAAAATATAGAAACAATCCTAGTATATAAAATAGATCTTAATAATTTTCTAAGTAAAATTAAGCATTTTCTAATTTTAAAGTGAAGTGACCATTAAAATATAAATAAAATAATTAATATATCATAAACCATTAAAATAAGTATGAAATTTTTTAAAAATAAAACGATTTTACTTTTAAATTAACAATCCAAAATCCTGCTTTAGAAATAAACGATAAATCCAAACAAATTTTGTTCAAAGAAAAACTTAAGAATAATTTATTTAGATATCACGTATCACTATATATTCATATCACTGCACTTAAAAATTCCTCAAAATCAGAACTCTCTGCATCAGAGCAAATTAGGTTTACTATTTAATTGTTTATTTCGGGTTAATCCCTGTCACTTTCGGTCTCGTTTGTCCCGGGATGATTTCCGCTTTTTTGAAGCCATTTATCACAGTTTCTTTTTCTCTTTTAATTGCCGACAGCTTAAACGCAGCGGTATAACTTTTCCTCTTAATGGAAGGCATTTAATATGGATAACTTAAATACAAGTTATGTTAAAACAAAGCGAAAATAGTATAAACGAAACAAAAATATTAACAAAAGAAAAATATTAAAATATTTATAAAACAAAAACACATCAGAACTGAAAATAAAACGATAAAAAAACGTAATAATAATCAGCTGAGGAAGATGATCGAAATCAGACAGAAATATGAGCAATGAAAAAAAAACAATAAAAAGCTCTCTCCCAAGCATTTAAAACAAGTTTCTATTTTTAGCAATTCCTCCCCCTATTTTCACTTCTCAAAACAGGTTTCTTTTTTCAACTGACTCCGCCTAGGACGGTCTTTCTTTTATCCCTGTCTAAAATTCTCACACACTTTGTTTTTTTCCCTCTGCACTGACTCTCAGTGGAAAGTTTGAAATTCTTTTTGAACATTCTAATTGTAAGATTATTGAAGGTCATTCCAAGCTCATCAGCATGCTTTATTTACCAAACATTCACCTGTTTTTAACAACCAGCTGAAGAAAAAAGGGGAGTGGAGAGAGGCATCCATGACAAGTGGAAGAGTCATATTTCCTGGAAAGAACAGGGGGTGGGGGAGCGTTTGTTTTACAGTTACCTTATCACTGGCCCCACCCTGATTTTCTTCATTCATTCCTTTCTGATTTATGCTTCTCCACTCCACGCCCATTTCCTGCACTCAACAGCTGTCCATATGGCAGAAGGGAAAGAGAGACTTTGTCCTCTTGTGGATAGTGGTCTCCAGAAAATGATTCCAAGAAAGGATTAGGGAGGAGAAAATTCCAGTTGCACTGACCATTCCTTGGAGTGACATTAAGCATGAAAAAATAAATAAAAAGTAAAATAACAGGTGGAAAAAATGAAGATGAAATTTCCAGTGCGGTTTCTAAAAAGCAAAATTTTTGAAGAAAAAAAAAGTTATACTATATAGGCCGCCCCGTTAGATACGCCTTCCTACTAAATTTTTAAGTTTTAAATCAATAACGCCGCGGCCTATCTCCGCGAAATTACAGTACGTTGAAATTCAATAAATATAGTTATTGAAATTACAATTTACCACAAAAGAGGATAGATCCTGACCACCATATTCCAGTTCAATGATTACAAACATCTGTTCTTCATCAAATAGGTCTGAAATTAGAGGTGCAAAAAATAAAGATTTAATAAGAAATTAAGAAACAAAATAACATTTTTGATTAAGTATAAATAATTTAGAACAATGGTTCCTTTGTATCATTATCTTTACTTGTGCCTGGATAATACTGATGAAATAAATTGTAAAGACCAGTTAAAACTGTCATAATATTGTCTGTGATAAATAAATCATACTTGCATTAATAATTAATAAAGTATCAATAATATTCTTAAAAAATTAACTTTTCTCTTAACTAAAAAATTATTGAGATTTCTTTTTTAGGCTTCTTTAATGACATTTAATCAAAAATGTTTTGTATTTTAAAAAGTTTATTCTTAATAATATTAATAATTATTATTATTTTAAATCAAATAAAGTAGGCAATAAATAACATGTAAATCTATGCAATCTTCCCAGATGCATGTAATATTTTTTAAGTAACTCATTTTTTTAAGGTAAAGGAAAGGTAAGGAAAGGCTTGCTTTCAACAGTAAAATGAAACAAAATAAATAAATTTACGATTAAAAGAAAAATATTAATGTTACAAAAATTAAAATTATAGACAGAATAAAAACGTTTTGAAGAAACATGTAAAAAATACTTTTTTTTTACATTGGGTAAATTCTTCAAACTTAAAAATGCTTCAAAAAATGAGCAAACAAACAAAAAGGAAGAAGCACATATGATAAAAATACTAAGTACCATAGTATTCATGTCTAAGAATGCATCTATAACTTGATTTAAAAACGATTGATAGGAACATTTCAATAAAAAAAACAGTAATAGTCTAAAAACAGCAATCATTTAATTTTATTTTAGGAAAAAGTCACAAAAATTCTGAAGACTGAAAATTTGAAAATAAAAAGTCCAGCTTTGAGAAAAATTTTGCTAAAAAACACATAATAACCTAAAAAAAAGAAAAGTCTTTTTGTAATAAGATGTTCTTTTAAGTTAAAATAGTCCTTAAGTAAATGAAAAATTAAATTCAATCTTAATACTGTAAAAACCAATTTTCCCCAATTTTTTTTTAAATAAAACATGGTTAAGAATGGAAAAAGTAAATTACTGTTCTGAAGACATATGATTGCTTATGAAATAGAATTAAAACAAATAATCTTAAATTTATTTAAAAATCTTTAACTTTTTTCATAAGATTAACAGTAATTTGCTCCTAAATATTATTATTTATCCTCAAATTATGCAATACAAATTAAGAAAAATAGTTCATCTGAGCTACTCTCAAGTAATTTTTAATTCAAAATACAAAACTTTTTTTTTAAATAAAAGAATTTAGAGGGGAAAAAAATACTAAAAGTGAATACCCAACTAACAAGTAGCAAAAGTATTTCTTTAAGTTATGTAACTTAATAGAATAGTAAAGCATGTTACAAAAACTAAGGAAAAACTACAAAAATTGAAGTTTGAGTCACAGGCTCATTATTATTCATTTTGATCTCGCTCAGTATCACATTGTTTGAAATTTTTTTTAAAGATACAAAATCCCTTTATCTTACAAATTACAGACATAGACAGAAAATTGTACACACCAAACAAAAGCCACGAGTGATTTTAAAATTTCAGTCACCAATTTTTAAAAATTTAGCACTTATTTTACATTTTAATAGAGATTTTATTGCATTAAGTCATAGATATATTCTACACACTTAATCATAAGAAAGAAAAAAATACGGACAGTTGGTGTAATTATGATCACTTGTGACTTAATAACCTTATAAGTTATTTACTTAGGCTATTAAAGAATTGATCATAATAACCCCTCAAAAAATCTCAAAATGTTAAAATTATGATCTCTTGTTTTGTTATTTTTTTACAAACATGTTTTAATATGATTATTACTTATATTTGGACATAAGAAATTTTTATGTAAGCAAATCTTAAATGTATAGTAGTGAGATTCCTATCAGATACAAAAATAAAAAAAAACAAGTGTTTTATTGTTAGTCAATTCAAATCTACAAATAGATAAGTTTACAAATGTGGTGCACATTTTATATAAATTGTTAAGCATGCCTAGCAAAATACATATATAAAACTTGAAAAAACATTTTTAACCTGGACAACTATTTTTTTACTTTTTTTCTAAATAAAAAATAGTGCTTGACACAATTAACATGTGGTCACAATTATCCCAATTGAACCTCTCTCTGCCTTTAAATATTCTAGATTTATATTTAATAATCTTCCATATGTAACTTCTAATATTGAAGAAATTAATTAGAAAATTCAAAACAGCACATTCTTCTTTGTACATCTAAAATCCTTTAAATGAAAACCATCATCTAATCAAATTAAAAATATAAAGACAATATTTTATGGCATAGCAACCTGGTCTAACGTTAAGAGCAGTTTTTTCTCTTGAAAATTTATCCCATGCTTTTAGTAATTTTTCTGGATAACATCCCTTTACCACATGAGACCTATAATATCAAAATATTTTAAATAAGGATATAATTTTATAACAAATAAAATAACAAATTACTTATGCATATCTGCCAATTTTTACTCTTTTCAAAAAAAGTTTTTCCAAGAAATAGAGAAATGCCATTTCAATTAAAATTAAAAGATGGTGTCTCATTAAAATTTAGTCGACACCTAAACACACATTCAGACAGCCAACAGGCTTATTACATATATGTTTTGAAGATTTGAAAGTAGTGGTATTCAAAATTTTTGTTTAATCACATTTATTCAAATATGAAATAAGTATGAATGTTTAAGTTTTGCTGCCACATTAAACACAAAAATAAAATCCGAAAGTGTTGGCAAGTATACTTATGACACACAATTAGAGATAAAATATTAATTTACTATTATAATTAACTTATATGCATCGATTTTATAATTAAAATATTCTAACAAATTAAATGATTGTAAAAAGGTTGAGAAAATACAATATACTTATTTTAATATCAGACACTTTAAAAGAACAAAAAATATTTAAAAATTGGTAACAAAAACAAGTAGCGATTTGATGCTTAATAAGTTTATTTAAGAAATGGATAGAATCTAGCCACTTTGGTAAACAATTGTGCAACCTTTTAGTTACAAAGTTCAAAAAAAAAATTTTTATGTCAGTATCTTTTTCCATATGCGCAAAAAGGATATAAGAGTAGAAGCCATTTATAACGAACCCACATTTTATGGAACTCTGGATTCAATAAGTGAAATAAAATGTTCTGTCAAGTACAATGTATTTTTAGTGGAAATTTTTTTTTTCCTCGGATTTTAAAAGTTAATTGGAAATGTGGAAAAGTATCAAAAATAATAAAAACTATTTAAAATAATTATAAATTTTAATTACAATTTTCATAAATGAGAGACTGATATATTTCTTTTCAATCTTGTTTCAAGTCTAATACTTACATATTGAAGTATAAATGAATAGAATTCACCAAAATTATGAGCCATATTATTTTTAAAAGAAGTTCAATTATTAACACAGATTCGGACTATTCTCGAAAAATAATAAAATAAAAATAAAATTAATTTAAAGAAAATTATATAAAATTTTATTTTTTAATTATCTGAGTGAACATAAATTTAAATGTAACAAAAATGTTTTGAATAATAAGTAGGTTAGATATAGTGAAAATATACTTTTTTCTGATTTTTATCTATAAAATTAATATTACCAACTCTTAGATATAAATCGAGAAAATACAAACTGCAATGAGAGATTTTAAAATTGAGTGAATTAGAAAAAAGAAGTTAGATTTTAAAATTGCCTGAATACTCTCTGGGTAATTTTAAAAAAGAGTAAATGAGAATCGCATTCTGTGATCTTAAAATAGTGTGAATATAAATTAGGATGTGTGATCTTAAAAATCTGAAAATATAAATAGATATGTGAAAATTTTAATTTGTGTGAACACAAACCACGATGTTTGATTCTTTAACGGCATGAATATAAATCACAATGTGTAATTTTAAAGAGTGACTCACGAATCACATTAAGGGATTTTTAAAAATTTAAATACGAACCGTGATACTTGTACTCAACTATCCAGAATGCTCAAAAACCACTAAATTCCCGATATGTAAAAAACACAAAAAATATTGCTTTGTAATATTACCTTACTTTTCAAAAAAGTGACATACCACAAGGAAAACAAAAAACACAATACTTTTAAAAAATAATAATAGTTGTTCTTAAGAATTAAATAAAAAGTCTGAAATAGAGAAATGAGAAGAACATAAGAAGAGAATAAAAAATTTTACTTAATTACCATTTGTTTTTAGAATTTAAGGGGAACAACACAGTAAAAGTCAATAAAAAAGAAATTTTTAATGAATTTTAAAAGAATTGTGATAAACTTAATAATTTTTTTTTTGCATTGTACAGATTTTAATTTTCATTTTGTTATGTTACAAATTCAAAAAGTTTACAAATTAACGTTTATATAATATTTATAATATATTTTTTAAAATCATACATAACTCACTGTACTCATAAGTTGAATAAAAATATTCACCCTAATTTAGTACCATTTTGATTTTTCTAACTTCATGCATGTAGTTTTTATTACAAGTAGGATATTTAAAAAATAATTTTTTTTTAATAAAATAACCCTGTTTTAAAAGAAAAATTTTTTATAAAAATGACATAAAATTACAAAAATACATATTTTTGTGCATTACTTAAAATCATTAAACTCAATTAAACAATCCCAACGTGCAACAAAAACTAGAGCTATTGTGAACATTGTGTCAAAATTAAACAGCTAAACAGCTTTAAAAATAACTTAAAATACTTAGTTTAAAAAAAAAATAGAAAACTAATAATCTTTATAACAAAACTTCAATACTGAAAATCTCAATTTTTCATATTACTGTGCCATAACAAAAATGATAATAAACATTTTCCTCTGCTTTCTGCATGTTTTTTATTCCAATTCTTTGTCCACCTCCCCTTTCTCCTGTTTAAGTGTGGAAAATTTGTCACTTACTTAGAACCTGATCTTCACATAGTGTGCATTTGAACTTGTGTAGTCTATGTTAAGCGATAAAGGTGGGTGAGAGCCACTCCTGCCAAACTAAATGCTTGTTTTTATAGTTATATGGAGAAATTTAAGGGGGACATTCATTCAATGCGGAGCGAATTATGATTAATCGATATTTTATAGCAGATTATTGAATGCTCCAAACAATTCTTAATTTTAAAAAAACCACTTCTGTTTTTAAAATTTTTTTACATAAACTTCTGAAAATTCTAGTCATTTAAGCTTTCTGGTAAGTCAAATTCCAGTTAGTCAGGCTTTTACTGTACAATATTTTTGCATGAGACAGCAGTGACAAGTTATCTAAGAGTTTTTCTGAAGAATTGTAAAAAAAAAATTTAAAAAAGTTAGTGAAAAAATTTTACATATTTCTAGCAATGTTTATTAATGAAATATACATTTTACTAAAATATGCACAGTATATATTTAATGTGACTTGTACCTACAATGAAAATATCTTTAAATATCTGAATCTAAGACAAATCTTTAGAACAAAGGAACTGAAGTGAAATTTTACACATTCAAATTGAATTGTTAGTCATAAAATTTATAATATAAAATGCATATTTAAAAGGTTTTAATACATAAAAAGAAGAAAAACATCTTTAAAAGATAAATAAATTGAATAAAGCAAACGGCACTTTCTGGAGAACCGCCCGTATATGTGCCGATTTTGAAACAAACAAATCACATTGAAATACATGTTTAATATTATACTCTTTTTTTTTATTGAAAGATAAAGAATTTTAAAAGAATTTAAATTTTGTTGTTGTTAATTTACGTCGCACTAGAGCTGCACAATGGAATTAATTATGCATAATGGATTAAATTTTGTACATACCCTTTAAGTAAGTTGAAATTATTAGTCTGATAGATCTCATTACTTCTCAGTTTATTTAAACACCTGGAAAAAGAAAATTAATGGCATTTTTGTTTCATCAATGCGTAAATATTCTATAAAAAAAGGTAATTTCTGAAAATATATAAAATTATTTTTTAAAAAAGATATAACTTATCACTACTACAGACTTTATGTAAAAAAACACTTTTGCTTGTCTTTTAAATCTTTATTGGATATCAAATCAAATACCCTTTAAAGGTCTAAAAAAATTTTTTCATAGTTTCAGAAAAATTTTAACGACAATTGCTCTATTAAATTTATGAATGAAACATTTTTTTCAATCTTGAAATAAAGGACATAAAAAGTACTGAAATGTGCATGTTGAGCATTTAAATAAATAATTACAAAACAAAAGTAAAATTAAATAATTACCACACCCTTAATCACTTCATATAAAAATTATAAATAAATATAGCTAAGTCAAATATATATATATATATATATACAGTATAGAACCCGTTATCCGGAAATCAGAAAACCGGAGAACCAAAAAACCGGAACGAAATTCAATATATTTTCTCGCCATTTTTTTTTTAAAAAAATTTTTTCCTCATAAGATTTTACGATTTTTCTTTCTTTTTTTTAAAGATGTTTACCTTACCATCATTTTGGAAATAATTATTAGTGTATTACTTCATCGTTTTTTCTTATTTTTAAGATTATTTCTAAAGATTTTTTTTTTTAGTTGGGTTTAACAATAAAAAAAACGGCTTTTTGTAGCGATTCAGAAAACCGGAAAAATCAGTTATCCGGAATAGCGATGGTCCCGATCGTTCCGGATAATCGGTTCCCTACTGTATATATATATATATATATATACAGTGAAACCTCCTGTTGTGGACACTCCCACAAAACGGACGCCTCTAAATACGGACATATTTTAAATTCCCCAAGAATCTTCTATGAATAAACCATTATGTATGGTCTCCGCAATGCGGACACTCCCTTAACAGGACGCTGACAGTCATTTTTGCCCTGAAAAGTAATTTTCTACCTCTTCAAACCGGACACTACTTTTTCTAAATTTGAAAAAAAAAATTTTTTTTACAATTATATTTAAGAAAAAGATGCCTCTCTCCAACATTTTTCAGAATATGTAAATTTTTTGCCTTATCCATAACTAAAAACATTGAGTTATTTCAGTTCTAAGGACTATCATTCTCCTGTCATCTTTCTTTATCTTTTTGATTTCATCTTTGGCTAGAAAGAAAGGAAAATGATTCTGCTCATGTAAAATATTTCAGACATCGGCATCTTTGGATCTTTTTATCAGGACTACACAGTTGTGACCCCACATGCTCAGTCTTGAGACCCCACAAGTTAAAGTGACACATTAATTCTTATCAATTCCTCCTCTCCACTGAAATTTCCTTTCTACTTCTATTCAGTTTGTACCCTGCACTCATCCCATCTGGGTTAAAAGAATAGAAATCTTAGTCATGGAGGTGTTCATATAAATCAAACACTTATTCAAACTCTTAACAAATGATCGATTGTGAATACAACTCCATAAGCCTGGTGTCTTTCAGGTAAGCATTGTCTTGTTCCTTTTTCTATGCATTACTGGAAGTTTACTTTCAGGGAGGTATTACCACATTTCTTATCAAGTGATGGGGGAATAAACGTATTGATTGAAACCGAGTGTGGTCATGACGTAGAAATATAAGTGTCCTTCCTGTATCACATGACTAACTTGAATATCTGCATAATAATGAAAAACATTTTCATTTCTTTGTAACTACATCTGTTGAAAGCGTATTTGAGATAGAACTTTTAAAAGATTTTTTTATTCTTGAGAAAGTCTATTCTTGTTCAACTATGCCTCGTAAAATTTTAACATTGAAAGAAAATATTGAACTTTTAGAGTATTCCAAACATCAAAAAAGCAGTGTCCGAAAATTGGTAGAACACTTTAAAATTGGAAAGACTCAGGCAGCAGACATCATTAAAAATAGAGAAAAACTAATGAAACTTTGGTGTGAAAATGGAAATAAGAACCAAATTAGAATATCCTCGGAAAACGGACCTGGATTTAAAATTGATAGATGCGTTTTTGATTGGTTTTCTGAAGTTAGAAGCAAAAAATATCCTGTATCTGGACCAATGTTACAGGAAAAGGCTAGAGAGGCAGCTGAGAAATTGGGGATAAAGGATTTTAAAGCTTCTAATGGATGGTTAGAAAAGTTCAGAAAGAGGCACATTTCTTTTAAATCAATAAGCGGAGAGTCCGCTTCTGTGGATACTGACATGGTTAAAGAATGGTTGGAGAAGCTGCCTTCCTTATTGAAGGACTATGCACTCGATGACGTATTAAATACTGATAAGACTGGTCTTTTTTTCGGGCATTACCGGAAAAAACTTCGTGTTTAAAAGGTGAAAAGTGTGAAGGAGGTAAAATTCCAAAAGAAAGATTGACGATTTTACTTTGCGCAAGTATGACCGGAGAACAAGAACCCCCGTTGAATAATGGAAATCAAATAAGCCCAGATGTTTTAAAGTAATGTATTTATTTAGGCTTGGAATACAACGGAAAGCAAATCGACGAGCATGGATGACCCTGGATTTAATGACTGAGTGGTTGCTTGAACTTGATAGAAAAATGGGCCACAAAAACAGGACAGTTCTTTTTCTTGATAATGCAGCGTCTCCCCCTAACAATAATCTAAAGAATGTGAAAATTGCATTCTTTCCTCTAAATGTAACGTCTGTTTGCCAGCCACTTGATCAAGGTGTTATTAAAAACTTCAAAGTGTTTTATCGGCAACTAATTTCAAAACACTTGATTATGAGCTTAGATGGGCCAAATAAAGAAAACGTAAAAATTGATGTTTTACAAGCTTCTTTGTGGATAATAGCAACCTGGAAAAAAGTAAAAAGCTCAACCATTTTAAACTGATTCACTAAGGCAGGCTTCAAAAAAGATACATCAGAATGCAATATCCTTACCGATGTTGTCGATGACACAATTTCTGATGATACCTTTTCTGAATTAACAAATTTGATTCGCTTGACTGGAGAAAGTGTTGTCAATGGTAATGATTTTGTAAAAATAGACGAAAATATTGAATGTCAAAAGAATGATTTAAATATGGACGAAATTGTTGAAATGGTTACAAATATTGATGCCGAGAGTGAAAATGAAGACATTGATACTCAACTGCTTCCTGAATACGAACCAAAAGTGAAAACTTTAAGTGATGCTCAAACTTGTATTGAGGAACTGAGACATTTTTATTTATCGAGAAATTATGAAATTGGTGTAAAAATGCTATATGATTTAAAAATGTACTATGAAGATATGGTGAGTCGCAGTCACTTAAAACAAACTTCTATCACATCTTTCTTTTCAACTGGATAATAGTATAACAGAGGCATGTATTAAATCTAATCTTTTCTTTTTGTATCATAAATATTATAATTTCGTTATGTTTAAATAAATGTCAATGTGAATAGTTCTTATTTTATTATTTTTTAATCATTGCCATTATTCTGAAAACAATTTATGGCTTGAGTATTCTTTATTAATGTATACCCTTCCCCTAAGCGGACAACTTTCGTAAACGGATAATTTTTTTGGTCCCGAGAGTGTCCCCTTAACGGAGGTTTCACTGTATATATATATAAGAACTTCATTGATCAATTTTAAGTTTTAATGTAAATAATTTTAAAGCATAGTTGAGCAAATTTTATTAGATTACTAAGGTGAAATGCATTATTGTAAATTAGATGGTTTCTATTCATATTTCACTTCATTTTATAAAGAAAAAGGGAAATAAGAGACAGAAATAGATAAAAATAAATGTAATGAGAAGAAAAGCAGTGGTGTCTGACGTAAATAATGTGGGACGTAAAAATAATTATTAACTTACAATAAAAATATTTATTATTTTCAAAATCAAATTAGATTACACAAATGAGACTTCGAATTTCGCTTCAAACATAAAAAATAATTTCATTATGTTAACCCTTTGATGGTTATGAACGAGTTCGGCTCCCAATCGAATCGTGTGCACATAATGTGCACAACGAGTCATCAATCTTCATAATGTGCACAAACGAGTTAAGCTCAGGAGCAAGATTTCGACCGAAATGGTTAGAAACGAGCACTACTTGCGTAGTGAAATTTTTCCCCAATGCACGCTGACGAGCTGAGCTTGTTCGCCATTATTATTCTGCATTGATTATGCTACAAACGAATCCTACTCACGAAATGTAGTTAGTTTTACTGTCTATAGATGGCAGTACGGGTTCCATGAATTTCTTTTTATAATGAAGGGGCAATTTTTTTTTACCTTGTTCTTTTTATGCGTATTTTAGCTCATTTTTTAGGGTGTTTGTAAAGTAAAATGCCTCAAAAGCGAAAATTAGATAATTATGATGATGATTATGATTGTTAAAGATTTTTAGGTAATTACGGTAATTTTTTATAGCGTGTACAAAAAGATTTTTATTTAATTACTGTATTTAAATGCTTCATGAAATTTTATATTAGTTGTAATTATTTAGTCCTTTCAATTTAATATTTGTCTTATATTTATAATTAACTTTTATTAGTTATATAATTGATTATAATCATTTATAATTTACTACAGTAGGGAACCGATTATCCGGAACGATCGGGACCATCGATATTCCGGATAACTGATTTTTCCGGTTTTCTGAATCGCTAAAAAAAGCCGTTTTTCTTATTGTTAAAACCAACTAAAAAAAAGAAAAATTGGAAATAATCTTAAAAAGAAGAAAAAACGATGAAGTAATACACTATTGATTATTACCAAAATGATGGTAAGGTAAACATCTTTCAAAAAAGAACGAAAAATCCTAAAATCTTATGAGGAAAAAAAAAATTATTTTTTTTAAAATAGCGGGAAAATGTATCGAATTTCGTTCCGATTTTTGGTTTTCCGGTTTTCTGATTTCCGGATAACGGGTTCTGTACTGTATTTAATAAAACTGTCCTTGCATCAGAAAGGTTCTGGGTTCGAATCCCGGGCAAGGCATGGATGTTCTTTACTTCTCAGTACTATCATCTGTCCTCACTGTGGGAGCGACGTTGGCCCACCTAATATGGTGCTCCTGAAAGAGAGGCCAACAAAATCGCCCTGTAAATGCCTGAATTGACGGATGTTAACACAGGTGGGCATTGGAAAAAAAAACTATTTAATAATTATTTTAAAGTACGTAAAAACTTATTTATGTACTACAAAAAATTTAAGAAATTTTTAAAACACGTGAGGCGAGCTATCTACGCCATCGCCAGAGAAGGGTGACATTTTCGGAAGAATGGTAGGAGAAAGCAGCTGCCACTTTCAATTACTGTTTACTTTTAATACTGCCTGAATTAAGAAAAACGAAAACTGCTCGTTTCCCTAACCGTCAAAGGGTTAAATCCTAGTGGCAAAGTACAATTGATTATGTATTTTGTTGTCGGACATAAAATATCAAAAGTGCATCTTGAGAATTTTTTTGTAAATCAAAATGTTAAATGTTTCTACACAATTGTGCAAGATAACCTGTTTTGCTACAGTTTACTTTAAGTATTATTTAAGTGTTCTCCCTAAGCGTTTTTAGAAGTTGTCTTTTGATGTGCCCTCTTTGAAAAAATACCTTAGACCTTTTTATTCATATTCCATTTAAAAAAATTTATTCACTATTTTAATAGCAATTGCACACTGGTAAAATTTACAAATATTTATCTACATCTGTTTAAATTTTTATAAGTTTCTCTTTTTTTGAAGGGGGTATATTAATGAATTAAGTAACTTTAAATTTTCAAATTATAATTTAAATAAATATTTTTTTTTTGAAAAATGCAAGTTTAAATGTTTATTGTTCTATAATTTTCAGTTCAAATTATAGAAAGAAGTTTCAAGTTGTTTATCAATTGATGATTTTATTTATTTATTTTCTGAATTGTGCACAGTGACTATGTTTAAGGATATCTTCAATTATTTTTTATAAACTACAAATTTTTCTCTTATTTGGATAATGAGTGAGTATTACTTTATGAAATATACACGTAAAATAGAATAAGAGTGTAATTTAAAAATTGTTGAGGATCAAATTGAGTTATTACATAATATTACAAATTTGATCAATTTTAACAGCGTTAAGTGCCCTTTTCTGGGAGAAAGCACTCTTCCCTTTTTTGTTTCTATTGAGAACTCTGATTATTTATTCGATTTTCTATTATAAAAGTGAATTTTTAAATAAAAAAAAACGTAGTTGGGCAATTCCATGAAAAGGGGGAAA